CCTTCTATCGATTGCGATTTAATATATATGTATACATGTTTAATGGTTTATTTTATTTAAATTTGAGTTGTTAATAAAAATAAGCAGAACAATAATGTAATGTAAGTTAATTAGTCACATGTGATCCTATTCCGCCAGATTTATATGAGTTATGAAATACTAACATCAATATTCAATTTAAGAAAACAACATTTTTTTTATTTTCCAAAATATGTTGTATACAAGGTTTTGTCAATACAATAAAACAGAGTTCTATTACGTTTCAGTTACGTAAAACGATTTGAGAAATTTGATTTTAAGATGTAACAACTTTTAATTTAATGTAGTATGTTCAAAAATGTATCGTACATTTCCACTATCTTTAATTGTCATGTAGCTAAATATTATTTAATCTCATATAATTGGAATTATTTTTAGTGCTATAAAATTGAGAGTTCTGAACTCTCTGACCTTCCAACTCATGCACAGATGACGGAACATATCAGGAATGACTAAATCAACAGTAAGTAACAATTCAGTTACATACATTAATTTAGTCACCTGTGATCCTATTCCGTCATCTGTGTTCGAGTCGGAAGGTTACAGCACTGAGAACTATCGATTTTATTGATTTTCAAAAATCGAAAGGGGGACATTTTTTTTCAAAACTAGGTTTTTCTAAGGTTTTAAAAGCAAAAAACGGATATTAACTTTGTTTCGTAAAAAGAAAAAATATTTCAACCTACTTTGCAACCTTCCTTTGTATTTCAAAAAGAAACCTTTTTTGCTTACTTTACTGGAAGATCCTTTTAGTGTTTGTAAAGTTTTATACAGCAAATCCCATTTAATATTTTCATATTTTTCCCTTGTCGTTAGGGAGGCCCGATAGTGGTGGACCGCGCCAATTTACTCAAATTTTGGTTCTGGAAGAAGCGTTTTTAAACTTAAAATACCCATTCGCAATTTGCTCGAACCCGAGTCTATTATTTTTCGACCTAGTTTCAGCAAAAAGATTAGACAAGACTTAAGATCCCAGTTTCTTAGGACTTCGTCCAATGTTTCATAGACTGAGGAAACTTCCTCTAAAGCTCGACAAAAGGAATGAGTTTTTTCATACTAATAGGTGGCTGAATACAACAACTTTCGCTTCTTTCCAAGAAATATTCGTTAAATATCCAATTAATAATAATTAAAAATTATAAACACAGTTCTTATTAAGCTCATTTAATCGTTAGTTCATTGAAAGTTAAAACGCTACATGACAAATCGTCATCATTAGTCGATGATTAGCTTCAAGTAAGATATATAGAGAAAAATATTATGACTGATCACCTCGAATTGTATGATGGATGGTTCATAGAGTTAAAAAAACATATCTGTAACAGAAAAACAGATTGAAAATACTACTGGATGGAAAGACCATACTACACGTAGATCATTAACGGTTGACAGGGTCGATAAATTTTAAAAAATCTAAAAGTTTAACTGCTTTCTTGTACTCTTCAGGGGTAAGAAAAATAATCTGAGAATAAAAGTCCACAAAAGTTCAATAAAATCCTGATGATGAAAAGGGAATATCATAAAATTTCCTTGGTTGTTTTCTAACCTGCAATACTTAGAGCTTTTCTACAGTAATAATTAAATAAATGCTTGGTGAAAAACCTCTTAGAAATTTAAATTTAAAACCGTTCGATCAGTATGGAGACTTTATTAAAGTGACACCTCATCCCCATATTGCTTGCATTTTTTAAAAGCTATTGTGCTTTTTCCCAGCACACTCCTACGTTAAGTGAATTGCCCTCCATTCCTTTTGTTCGAAACGGAGTATTTTTCAAATAAATAGTTAAGGTGGAGTTATAAAAAACAATTCTGAAAAGCTTCGATAGGTTTTGACCAATAGGCGGAATTTGAGGATTCCAATAGGAAATTTGACGTTCATTCTAAAATTTATCCAAAGGCTTCGAGGTGTATTGTTGGAAAACTCGTACAAATAAAAGGTCTCTTTCACCCACCCACCCACTCACTCACTCACACTCACACTCACTCTCTCACACACACACACACACACACACACACACACACACACACACACACACACACACACANTCTCTCTCTCTCTCTCTCTCTCTCTCTCTCTCTCTCTCTCTCTCTCTCATACTCTCTCACTCTCCACAGCTCTCTAGCTTTCTTTTTCATTCATGTTTTTTTCACTTTTTCTCATCCCCCGACTCTTAACGCTTATTTCCGTTTCACCTTCCCTCACTCCCCTTTGTCAAAATTATCAGTCAGTCTCTCACCCTTCAACGCTCGCTCACCCCCTTCAAACCATTCAAGTCGAGAATAGAAAAACGGACTTTTTAAATTATTTGTTTTTTTGGCTTGTCAATTTTTAAAGTGTGTTTTCGTCCATAGTACAGTGTAAGATTTATCTCCATCTTCTTTTTGATTTTTGATTTTTCCATTTCTTATTCTTAGTGTATATACATATGTAAATAACAATCTAGTCACGTGTGTTAATTTAGTCAGCTGTGTTGAGCTGGAAGGTTACGGAATTGAGAACTTTTAATTTTATTCAGTTGTAAAGCGTTAACACGGCGCTCGCTGTAAGGTAAAGGTCCCGCGTTCGAATCCTGCGGCCCTGCATTAGAATCCGACATACCTACAAATGTTTTTTTGTTTGTTTTTTTTCAAAACCACCGATACGCCAAGGGGTGACATGACCTCAGACGTTACGAATGCATAAAAAAGTGTAGTTTATTCACTTATGCTTTTTAGATAAGTATCGCGTATTTTCTCAATTTTTTTTAAATTTAGTAATGATATAATCTCATGTGTTTGGGATTCTTTTTAATGGTATAAAATCGATAATTCTAAATTGCGTAATCTTTTAACTTATACATAGCTGACAAAATAAGTAGAGTGAAGAAAATGAGAATTTGTCATTTTGTTACTCTAAAAAGAATGACACGTATGTAGGTAAGATTATATAATAATTGGCCTCATGATAATAAAGATTGAAAAACATACAAAATACTCGCCTAAAAGGAATAATTAAATTACATGTCATACTACATAACAAAATCGAGAGTTCTCTATTCCGTAACCTTCCAAATTATTCACAGCTGACGAAATAGATCACTGGTGACTAAATTAACGGAGGTAACGGAATTGTTATTTACTGTTGATTTATTCAGCGTGATAAATTGGAAGGTTGCGGAATTAAGAACTTTGGATTATATTAAGATGTAACAAACAACGTGTAATATTATTTTTAAATATGTATCATGTATCGGGTTGTCCGGAAAATAATGCAGGATTTTAAGTTTTCATTAAAAAAAATCTATATAAAATATTCTGTTTACGTTTACAGGATTACTCATTTGTATGAATGTCAACACTTATTAATCCTCTTCCAAATGATATTGTTTGTTTACCTCTGTAGCATTCCGCTACTTGGAAATAATTCAGTCATCCTTATAATGTCAAAGCGAGAATTTCGTACGATTTTCTTTTACGAGTTTAAACTCGGCCGAAGCGGAGCCCAAACGGCTAGAAACATTAACCAAGTCTGGGGCGAGGGTTGTGTTAATGAGTGCACTGTGCAAAGGTGGTTTAAAAAATTTCGGGAGGGAGATTTCAGCCTTGAAGATGAAGAAGGTCGTGGAAGGCCTTCCTCTCTTAATGATGATGTTCTGCGATCAGTGGTGGAAGAAAACCCCAAAACAACTGTTCGAGAACTTGCAGAGCAACTCAAAGTCAGTAAAACGACCGTCGCTGACCACCTCAAGGCGATTGGAAAAGTGAAAAAACTCGAAAATTGGGTTCCACACTCATTAAACGATCGCCAAAAAATCAGCGCTTTGATGTTTGTGCATCACTTCTTTGTCGAAACAAAAATGACCCATTTCTGGCCAGAATTGTTACATGTGACGAAAAGTGGATTCTCTACGATAACACTAGACGTTCTGGACAGTGGCTCGACAAAGGAGAAGCTCCAAAGCCCCCAACTCATCAAAAAAAGGTAATGGTTACGGTATGGTGGGCTTCATTTGGTTTAATACACTACAGCTTCTTAAATCCTGGCGAAACCATCAATGCTGAATCATACTGTAACCAAATTAATACCATGCATCAGAAATTGGCAGTAATGAAGCCCTCTTTGGTCAATCGGAAAGGGCCCATTTTGTTGCATGACAACGCTCGACCACATGTGTCACGTGTAACGTCACAAAAATTATTGGAGCTTGGCTATGAAACTTTGCCTCACCCACCCTACTCTCCGGACCTCTCGCCTACTGACTACCATTTTTTTAGACACCTGGACCACTACTTACAACACATAATATTCAAAAATCAAACGGAACTGGAAAATGCATTTATTGACTTTATCAATTCTAAAAATTCTGAATTCTACTCAGACGGAATTAATAAGTTACCAACACGTTGGGAGAAATGTATTGAGAGTATGGGATTTGATTAAAGAACATTGCTTTAAAGTAACTAGTTTCTTTTTTTTTGTTTAATACCAAAATCCTGCATTATTTTCCGGACAACCCAATATTTTCTCAATCTTCACTTATCAGATAACCCATAATTATATAACTTCATGTATTTGTGATTCCTTTTGGTTGTATAAATTCCAGAGTTTTCAACTTTCTAACCTTACAACTCATACACAGATGACCAAAAAAAATCATAAGTCGCTAAATTAATAAGTGACTGAATTGACATTTATTGCTAATTTGGTCAACTATATGTGCAATATAGATCACACATATAAAGCACAATAACATTATGTAAGGAGGTAGTAGTTTTATTATTTTCCATCATTTTGGTCTTCTTGTCCTATAAGTTTTGTTTTTATTTTCCCCTAAGTTTATCTATGGAAAGTTCATCAAACCGCAGTTCCTAATGTAATGAAATTGTCATATCAACCTTTTTTGCCTTGTTCTTTAAAAATCCTGCACAGAAGTTTGAAGTCAAACCATTCAAAATGTACAATATTTTGTTATTTGTTTCAGTTCCTCCCATGCTATGGATTCCTCATCAGTTGGTAGGTGCCCCGCTTGGTTTCAACGTGACATTGGAATGCTACACGGAGGCTCATCCCAATTCGCTCAATTACTGGACGAGGGAAGACGGGCAGATGATCCACGAAGGGAAGAAATACAACATCAAGTCGAAACCTCTGGAGCTCCCTTACAAAACCCAAATGACCCTCACCATAATGAAGCTTAACCAACAAGACTTCGGGACTTACAAATGTGTCGCCAAGAATCCACGTGGTGAAACTGACGGTACCATCAGGCTTTACGGTAAGAGATCATTTCATCCCCCTCCCCCTTTACATCATTTTCCATATAATTAACATTTAAATATCGGAATTGTGCAGGGGTAAGCAATACTTTTTAAATGTCAGAAGGCTGTGCCAAGTGACATTTATATTTGATATAATGACAGTATGAAAAGAATTATCGACTGGAAGGTTCCGTCAAAAACCGTTACAATCATTCAGACCAATCAATTTATATTGTGCATTAAAGTTGATAATATTTGTTAAATGTTATCAGAAAAATGTATATCAGGGTCAATTTACAATGCCTGTGATGCGATGCGATATCGTGCGAGTAAAAGTCGATATCACAAAGAAAGGTGATGCCATTGGTCTTAACCATGGATAAGAATGCTTTCTGGTTCATTCGATCTGGTCGAAGCTCCAACTTTCTCACATTCTATGTGTAGTTCTATTGTGAAGAGAAAAATATAAATTTATATTAAAAATAAAATTAGTCTTTTACATATTGTCCTGTATATACGCCTAATTGTGACCCACGATGTCTAGTTGCCTTGGGCGAAGCCTTGTTGGTTGATCTTTTGCCCTACATTCAAGAATGTTGTTTCACTAAGTTTGAGACAACTTTTCGTGGCAAGTTGAAATTTTACAGGATCCTTTTCTTATCGGTACTGTTAACTATAAATATTTTCGTATCGCAACTCTTTAAAATCTGCTTCTATTTCAGCATCGCATCAGGGGCAGTGTAAATACAGTGTTAGCAAGGGTGACACTAGTAAGTTGACACCCGGCATATACACTCATATGTGTGTATGAGGTAGTTTTTATTATTATATTAAATGTACTATTAATGTGTGGATTAACAACGCTGAACAAAATATTTAACACGTAGAAATTTCAAATATATTTCTCTATTTGATCAAAACATACAGAAAGAGAATATATTGAATTTTTCCAAATGTAAATTTCAACCCAGGTGAAATGTGTACGGAGTAAGGGACCGTGAGATGGTACAAATCGAGCCCACGACCGCCAATTAGATTACCTGACCAATCGGACGGAAAGAAAAGGAACCATTCGTTTTGTTTTAGAAGGATTACGGAAGTTAATAGAAATTGATATCTCCGCCTTTGTAAAAGATTAATCCGAAGGAAATTGTTTGTTGAAATTCTTTGGAAATTTGAATCCGACATTTAGCCCAAATTTGCCGTGTTCAACCGTCATCAACCGCTTTTTATTCCTAGTTCCACCCTTTTCGTTATATTGTAGATGATTATTTAAATGTAGTCAAAGGAAATTTTATCACATTCTTCCAAAAATCCTCAATACCATCAGGAACAATACCTCATTCAATTTAAAAAATTACAAAGATTGGCATTTCTTAACATTACAGAGAAGAACTGGGGATTTTAAAATAATCCTGCCATACAGGAGGGCTGCGTTCAACTTCCGGTTGGGATATTACTATTATTATATAAAACGATTATTCCCAATTAAAAAGCCACGGGCTGAGCCCGGATTCGAACCTAGGACCGCTAACTTTACAAATACGGTTCGGACCCCGTTACTAATAGGTACTACTACTAATAGGTCTCGCGAGCTGATCAAGAGTTAACTCACATTACTTAGTGAGCCGCTCTGAACAAATCGAATGACGTTTTATTTTGAATTTTGACTTTACCACCACTATGGTAAAACTTGACAAACGACTGAACCCAGTTTGCCAATCTACGCTCCAAGCACTCTCCCTTCCGGTTACTATTCGCTCTAAACGCTCTCCCTTCCAGCCTCTCTCTCTCCGCTCTAAACGCTCTTTACTCCAGCCGTTTGCCGCTCCAAACGCACTCTACATAAGCTGCCCTCCGTTCCAAACGCTCTCCATTACAGCCTCCCTCCTCTCCAAACGCTCTTTATCCAGCCGCTAACCGCTCCAAATGCTCTCCCTTCCGGTCACTATTCGCTTCCAACGCTATTTATCTAGCCGTTCCCCTCCACAAACGCTCTGTACTTAAGCTGCCTGGCCCAGTTCAACTTCAAAATTTCAAATACGACCCTATACGTTCTGACACATCATTTTAAAGGATTTTTTACGCTGAAAATAATGGTGCAATTGGATTTTAAATCCGTCAAAACAAGACAAACTCCTTTTAAACTAAATATATTAAACTCGTATTTTCTTTTTTTTATAGCGTCATTGGTTCAAGAGAAATTCAGCCGGGCTATCTAAAAAGGACATGTATATGACATCAATTTGTCTAAACGTTATGTCTAGGTTTGATCGAACCTAAAGCTAATTTTCTTTTTTCATAGTAGAATTGTCAGAATGTTTTTCATTTACTACTTATTTGTTTTTATCCCTGTGACTAGTGTTGGAATTTCACGAATTCCTACCCTCTTGTCCATTTCCATAGGCCCTATCGTCCAATGTTTAACAATGATCTTTGTTAGGCCTTATAGAATTTGTTTGCCTCATTGGGTGTATTTCTTACCACGCCTAAATACAACTACAGCGAAGGACAAATATAAGGCACAAATCAAATTATTTTATTTTAAAATTAAAACCATTATCTTTCCACATTAGGTACAGGTAATTAGGAGCTATCGTACTCAAAATAAACAGTAAATAATGCTTTGTTCACTTCCTTCATTTACTTTTCTACTAATAATCCCATTTGCACAAAAAGTAGCATTATGCCCTATCATTCTGCTAAGTCTAAAAAGATCGCTTTTAGTTAATCTTTTTCTTTTGTTTATGTCATTTGCTATTATTCTTATTCTTAACTCCTATTCAATGGCCCCAGTAATTCGATTGAGTATGGGGGCCATAACATTATTAGAGGAAGGATACAGCCAGCTCGAAATTGTCAGGAGACTGATACAGTAGGAATGGTTCTTCGGCGTTTCATAAAAATAGGGCTTCACACTAGAAGACCAGGTCAGGACCTAGGTTTATAGACAAGAGAGACGATAGGTTCATGTGTAATCAGGCTCTACGAAACCGCAGCATTATGGGAAATGAGATAAGAAATCTGGTAAGACAAGTCCGAAATGTTTCGATTTCTTCCTGGACTGTAAGAAGAAGGCTCAATGACAATAACCTCAGGGCTCGGCACCCTGCTAGTGGACCTCTTCTTACCACAGCTCAGAAAATGGCCAGGCTTCAATCCGCACTTCCGATAAAAAATAAAAATTATATCACATTAAATATGCAAACAAAGATTCTTTTGTTTATTCGAGATTTTGTTAAACATAAAATAATTATTCTATAGACCAATTATTTTATATTTTAAAATATCTCGAATTATTAGAAGAATGATTTGTTTATAAATTTATTTTTACCTAACTTTTAATTTTAATTCAATTTTCATGTGGTATTTTAGATAAAAACCCATTTTATATTTCGAAAAAATTTCAAATTAAATGAATATTTTATTTTTATATTTAATTTTATTTCCAATTTTAATTAATTTTCATGTGGTCTTATAAGAGTCCAATTATATTATATTTTTACCTAAATTCGCAAATATACAGGCATTTTTTTAATATGCTTACATTTTATGCTTAAATTTTTTTAATGGTATAATTTAAATATGGTCAAATATGAATATATATATATATATATATATATAATTTTTTAATGAGAAATAACTTATTTTCTGGCTTTGCACAGAAAATGTGAAAACTAGAAACCTTCGTGATATTCCATTTAAGATCAACGAAATTAATTAAGGCTGGTGTCAGCTAAGCTGGGAGAAACACGTGCAATGCTAAGAATGGAAAAATCGCAAGTTAATTAATATTTTAGACTGATATATATGTATTATCTAGTATTTAATTTTAGATAATGTAATTCACATTGAATTTGACCTCAACTTAGGGGCATCCTACCCTCTACACACTTCCTCTGATCTACAAGTGCTTGAGAGTATGAATCGGATCCTATCACACTTCAGGTACAAGGCACGGGCGTCGCTCAAGGTAGCGTTGTCAGACCGTTCTTGTACTCCGTATACACTGCCACTCTCTCACTCTCTCGCTCTCTCTCTATCTCTCTCTCTCTCACAATCTCTCTCTCTCTCTCTCTCTCTCTCTCTCCCTCTCTCTCTCTCTTTCTTTCTCTCTCTCTCTCTCTCTCTCTCTCTTGTGAAAATGAAATGTTGCTCAGTGGTCTTCGTCGATGTAAAACAAGTTTCGATCGATCCTGGCACCTAGGTAGTTGGTTTTGTTGTTTTATAGAGTATACACCAACGATCTCCCTTTTTATTCTGACACTACGAACCTCATACTTGCTGGTGGCAGCGCTGTATGTCAATCGTGTTTTGGATATTATTGCACCTTATCTCTGGAAGAAAGAATGCTGCTCGGAAGTTGTTCTCGATGCCGAAGTCGACATCGAATCTGGCACCTGAGTTTACTCTGGAAACTCGAGGACATCCTAGCCTCTACATATCTTCTTATCCAGTCCTACCTAGCAAACAGATACTTCAGAGTATGTATCGGATCCTCTAACTCTCTTTTGACCAAGATGTATAGGACTTCACGGCAGGAAAAACGTCAGGTACTGCTAGATATCCCTTCCCATCGTCAGCACTATCCGCTGATTATTTTAATATGATCTCGGACTATCAGTTTGAATTTAGGCACTGTTCAACAGTGCCATCGTGTTGTAGACATTCTCTCATCCTCCCTGGAGAAGTAGGAGTGAGGGCTGCTTAGCGGTATTTGTCGATGTCGAGCAGAGATTCGATGGAATGTGGCATTGGGTTCGCTCTGGAAACTCAATCGCTACCTTGTACACTCTTCCTTTTTTCTGCAGGTAGGTACTTTAGAGTATGAGTCGGACCGTTATATTCTCCTTTGTAGAAGGCACTGACGTTCATCACAGTAGCATCCTCGGACCGTTACTGTACTCCATATAAAATGCCATTCTATCCTTTAACTCGGACGCGATAGTGGACATTGACCTACCTTGAAAAGAAGGAATTCAGCTCCACGGTCTTCTTCGACTTCAAAAAGGCATTTCGAATCTGGCAATCAGGTTTGCTCTTGAAAATCAGATGCATCCTAGCCATTACTTCCATATCGCTAGGTCCTACCTAGCCGAGAGGAATATGAGTCAATGGGTGGAATCCTCTCAACTCTGCTTTATACATGGGTATCCTTTGGGTGTCCTTCAGCGTAACGTACTTGGTCCGTTACTGCCCTCAGTATACAATGCCGTTATAGCTCATTAATCCCTCCAGACACACCTAGAACATCACATAACCTCTACTCTACGTCGCAACACTCAACCTCCATACCATTATAACCTCACCCTCCTTCCAACCGAAATCTGACACGATGACAGGAGTCAACAGGACAGAACTGAATGATAATGATTACTCAAAAGATTAGTAAACAATAAATCTAAACTGCTATACTGAAATACGCTATGGTGTTCAACCTTCTAATCTCCCTAAAATCCAAACTCAAATCCGTAGATGCATTGTCAATGCTATGTTTCTTCGCTTCTATGTTTCCAACCGCACCATCCATTCTGACCGGTACAACTTTCCCCCCGATCTCTTCCTAAGTACGATTCTCATAGAACTAGACGTCATTTGTTTTATTAAACACGCGATTTAGAAGTATTTTTGATTTGTATTCCCACGACCTATTCACAAAGAGTAACAATGATTGTAATTAGTCTATGTATTAGGATTTATAGAATAAAAGTAACAAAAAATGAAAAATGAGCTTCTTAGCGAGTAGGTCGGTTGAAATGACATCTTCCACTCTTCTCGCCACACTCTCAATGATTGGATGAATGACCTCCAAAATACGCACCTTCTCAAGCCTATCAGAAACCACGAGGTGACCTGTTTCGTCTCTTTAGGTGATCTCTTGTTCGATGGGGTTTAGGTCCGAAAGGAAGGAAGTGACATCCTGTCTTCATTAGCGTACAACTTACAGCGTATACCTAATTTCTTGTGGCAAGGGAAGAAGCAGCATTCTGCAGTGTTGTTACCGAGAAAGTCAAAAATCATCGAATCTTTGATCTACAATATTGTTTTAACATGAATCTAATTTAAAAATACGCTTATTTTTATAATGAAAATTGAAACCACTTTATTAAACACACGAGTTTGAAGTATTTTGAGTATAATTCTTTTTGTTTTTTTTATTGGTAAAGAATTTTGCAATTATCATTTGCTGGATAAGTGCTTTTATCATTTGCTTTATTGTTGATTGCGGGCCGTTAATTGCCAAACATCAATCATGACACGGCTTTATATGTGATATCTTCTTCGATGGCTTTCAAAGATCAGTGATTTACGAAGCACTTGCATTAAACGTCACACTAATTGAACCTGTGATGGAAATATGACCGTAGTTTGTATTATTGTTTTCCCTTCTTTTCCGACATTCCTGATTGCCAGGACGATCCGGGTGTTAAATTGAAGAAAACTTTTCTTTTTTTTCAGAAATTTCATACAATTTATTCTGAAAAGATTGAAATTAAGAAAAAGCACAGTTCAAAATAAATGCAGCACTTTTAATTTATATATTCTTAGTTGTCGAATACACAAAATTGCACGCTTAAGAAGCACGTAGAACTAGTCAAATGTTGGTTTAAATGATTTTATTTTTATTTTAAGTTCTATTATATTTTGAGTGAGTAGTAGACTGTGAGTAGAACTATCTTTTCCAGAAAGTAGTTTGGTGGGTCAGTCTATTCTACATTCCGCCACACCATACACACACTCACTTAACCTATCCCGCTAATAAATACATTTATTCAGGACAATAAAATAACTAACATAGTTTGGTAAGTCTGTGGAGTAACTCTATAGTGTACTCACACAAGCACGCGCGCGCACCCTATCACGCTAATAAATACATTCATTCAAGGCGTTACAATAACTACCCTATTTTGGTGGATCTGTGGTGTCCTCTACATTTCGCCGCAAACCCACACACCCACACTCACTTATTCAACCTATAAATCTAATAAAAGCTAATAAATAAATTTTGCACATTTATTTATAATTTATATTTCAATCAGTACAGAGACTTTTTTACAACATTTATGGGAGCTATAAACCCGTCTATAAATAATTATCCTTTATAGAAAATCGATAACACCTATCTTGTCAACATTTGGTCCATCCTACACAAAAATAATTTGCAAGTATAATTAGTAAGTAAAATATATCTTTACCAGTGGGAAACTTTTTAAAGGAAATTTCACTCTATAAAGATAACGTCAATACAGATGGTTATAAATTATTATTGATTTCTCTATGGTTAAACTTAAAATATACAATTCAATTTAGCTTGGATTGTTTCAACATTAAAAGTTAAAATGATAAAATGGTATCTTTATATTGTGGAGTGATAAAATACTATTTAATTTACTATATAAATGGGTATGACTCTTTTTCTATAATTTGGAAGGCCTTCCAAACCACCGCCTATGCACCAATAAAAGATTCCTCAGTATAACCGCCGCACGCTATTTGCTAATTCATGAGCACTTTTTTTCACTTCTTGATTGCATGTTTCTATCACAACTTTAATTTTTATGTTTCTCCTAAGCTTCAGCTTTGATGACCAGCACCGTACAAACCACCTTAGAAGATGGATTTGACAAAGGTAATCACAGAACGCACATTTCGTTTATTCCTAACTCCCTACTTGTTAATTTTTTTAAATTTAAGTTGGTTTAATTTTTTTATGAATTGTCTTTACATAATGAATATATAAAAATTGTATCTTTTCAGTGTGGGATGTAACAGGTTGATCCCTTTCATTTCAAGTTTTTTTTTCTTCTTACAGATACACAGATTGAGTTTAACGGAGTAGAAAACAAAACTGTTGAAACTTCAGTTGTCAAGCTTAACAAAGGTACGTCATGGTATTTGAATGCAAACTTTCCTAAGCAAATCAAACTTTTTAATTTCTATTGGCCCTTATCCATAAGAGTAAATTTGTTTAAAAATATTTCACACGATAATGTCCCATATTTCCCTTTGTGTTATTTTTTAGAAGGCAAGACTCAGTCCAATATGAACGCACTGGACAAAATATCCAAGAAAGAACGTGATCATAAGGAAAAGGCTTTTGAAGAGAGCATTATAAGTAAGTTTTATTAAATTATTTTTCTGATAAAAACAAAGGATGTCATTTAAAATCTCTATAAAATTGCCATAATTTCATTTCATGAGGTTAACTATGTACCAGCAAAATGATGCAATGTCAAATGTCATCTTATATAATAAAATATATATAAAACAAACTACTGTAAAAAGAGAGGCAAGGGCTTATGAAAAATTCATACGAGATAGCACACGACCCGAGGATCATTATTTTCCTTCGTGATGTCTAGGAGTTGGTTTTCAATTCAAACATTTCAAATGAGCTCGCCTACATCTAGAAAGATATAACTACGAACCCTACATGATTTGTTGCATTGTAATTTTTTTTTAATTAAATACACTTCTTGTAAAAGAATTGGAAAACTTAAATTTTTGTATTTTATGAGAACATCTGGCTTTAACAACATTCAACAAGACTCAGAAGTACAAAATAAACAATTTCTTTTTTTAATTCATTATTGGACTATACTTACATATTTATTCCAACTTATCGAAAAATAATATGCCATAAATTGTTTCGTCAAACTAACCTTTTTTAGTTTCAAGTCAACACTTTTTTCATTTCACATTAACTCTTTTTAATGCATACCAAACTAACTCTTTTTTTCAATTAACCCTTGTTAGTTTCAAATTAATCTTTTTTAGTATCTATCAAATTAACCTTTTTTTAATTTCAAATTACCCCTTTTTTAGGACTAATCAAATTTACTCTCTTTTTTTCAATTAACAATTTTTAATTTCAAATTACCCTTTTTTAGGACATATCAAATTAACTCTTTTTTCAATTAGCCCTTTTTAATTTCAAATTACCCCTTTTTTAGGACTAATCAAATTTACTCTCTTTTTTTCTATTAACAATTTTTAATTTCAAATCACCCTTTTTTAGTATCTATAAAATTTACTCTTTTTTTAAATTAACCCTTTTTAATTTCAAATTACCATTTTTTAGTACATATCAAATTAACTCTTTATTCAATTAACCCTTTTTAATTTCAAATTACACTTTTTTAGTACCTATCAAATTAACTTTTTTTTAATTAACCCTTTTTAATTTCAAATTACCCTTTTTTAGTACCTATCAAATATACTTTTTTTTAATTAACCCTTTTTAATTTCAAATTACCCTTTTTTAGTACCTATCAAATATACTCTTTTTTTTCAATTAACCATTTTTTAATTTCAAATTAACCATTTTTAACTTCAAACTAACCTTTTTTAATTTCAACTTAACCTTAGTCCGTGAATCTATTCAAATCCTCTTTAAAATCTCTTAACTTACAATTAAGGAGAAAAGCCGAGAAGGGCGTGCAAGGGCTTTAAGACGCTTCCTTTTGGTACTCCTATTTGGCCCACATCACTTCATATAATATTATAGTTAAAGTGAAAGAAAATGAGTAAACAAGCTTTTAAGTCTCATCATGTTTGTCTTAATGCCAAATAGAGATAATACATCTAGCTTTATAAATATAAAACTAATCCTATTTAATATATAAAACACTTTAAACGAAACATAAGTTTTAATAATTGTATTCATTTATTTACAATCTTGACAGTAACGAGGTTACAAACAAGCTAGAGGTGTAAAGACAAAAACCTCACCCATAGGAAATTTCATGTCTCAGGGTTGGAGGTTTTTTTGTCCGATTATAGGACTTAATTACTTTCACCGCGCAATAAATCTTGTCCTTTCTGAATAGAATACATCATATTTTTTCAATGTTTTTCCTTTTATCCTGGAGAGATTTAGAAAAGTGCGCGTTTTATAGGCAACAAGGCGAAAAAACCCCATGCTATTATTAAACACCCATATTAAAATTAATCTGAAAAAGCAGAATAAAATTTGCAAAGATCGATAACGTTTGTTAATAACAAATTTTAAAAAAAGTCTTGAAACTTTAAAAATAATAAAAAGTATAAATTCTTAGATATTATGCTTGTCTGATTTAATATTTCACAAGATCTGGGACATTCTGTATATATTATAATATATTCCAAATAAATGCAAAGTTATTAAGGTCAATCATTATAGTGAACAATACAATTGCAATATTTTTTACTATGAAAAAATCCTAAAGTCTTTTGGGTGGATCGCGTAAAGTAATTGGCTGAAATGACAGGTCATCATAAGTACGCAATGATCTCATAGTCATAAAACTCCTTGTTTAATAAAACTTTTATTCCAGCATCAATATAAATCACTTTGGTTTTATTACACAAAATACAAGCCATTATTTTCCAAGAGTTTTATTTAACTTTCAACCTGCTTCAACAATGCAACAATGCTGTTTTGAAGTTACAAAAAATCAATCCTAATTTTACATTTTAGAAATACACTTCTTTGAAACCTGTCATTGATCTAAAAAGACAGTAGGCAGATGGCTCGACGTCAGGATTATAAGCAGGGAGAGGTGAGGTGACGCCCGAACGATATGACGTGCAGGCGTATAAGGATGGTGGACGTGAGATCATCGATTTTACTTAAACTTTTTTATTAATATTAGACCAAAAAAATGGTAGACTCAAGAGTTCTCGATATACTGCTGAGACATCAGCCATACAACAGTAGAATTATGTACAGGTGTATTGTCACCCTCCCTTCATTCACGCTAATAAATATCTTCACACAGAGTAAAAATCTCGCATTCACCAACCTAAGTTGAACTAGTTTGTTCGACAGGTCTGAGGATACTCGATACGCCCTACAAGCCATGTCCATACACACTTAACCACTCACACAAATATCTACATTCATACAATCGAGTAGTCACCAGGGATTTTGATATTACGCCAAGGAGTACCCCGATCATATTGCACATATAAAACAAAATAGCCTAGACTACGTTTGTATGTCTGGATACTCGATATTTCATCACAAACACACCCACTCATACTACAACGTTCACGCTAATAAATTTTACACTATTGGGTAGTTACTGGAACATAAACACACTCTATTACATGTAAATATAAAACCAAGTAACTTAGACTATTTCAGTCTGTCTGGGTACTCGTTATTTCATCAGAAACACATCGAAACATACTACAACGTTCACGCTAATAAATACAATCGCTCAAATTAAAGATATTATTTCAATCAACGTATGAAAGGGCTTCCGACGATATACGTTTATACACCTCAGGTACTCAATATCTTTTTTTTTGTGGCTGGGGCTTCCGACATCTAGGTCATTTCAGCCCCCTCAATATCTTATTATAACGTCTACTGTACTTTAAAAGTTCTTGTCTGCCGTCAGGCCATACCTTATTCTTTGCGGCGCTAGCTTCTCGCACTCTGTTAATATATGTTTTACAGAATAATAATTTAAAAAATCACATAGTTGTGTGCCACATAAATTGCATCTCCGTGGTCTGTCTTTGGAGTGGAGATTCCCTCGTGTCAGCTTGGTATGGCCTACCCGCAACTCAATATGATAAATTCTGTTTTTACCATTCCTCAATGGCCTATGATTCGACCGATAAATTCCATGTTATCCGTCTTGGTGGTCCAGCGGTTCTGCCATTCTTTCGAACATTGGTTTTTAAGATAATTTTTACTCACCAGGTTTTGGAGTCATGCGGCCAAAGAAATTGTATTGTTTCATAAATTATTTATTGTAGCATATTAATAGTATAATATTCTGATTAATGATTACATACAACGTATACAGAGTTCAGCCTATCACTTCTCGCAGATAAACAATTCCGGCTTTTCTAATTTAGAATAAATTACGGCAGGTCTCGAGAATCACCGCGCTCTTGCCATCCAGCCACTGAAGTTGGGCTCCGGGAGCTGACAAGAGCTAGGTCATTTCAGCAAAATCAGTTCCTGACCATACCAAAACCCATTCACACTCTCACTCCCTCTTAAATACATTCTTTTTTATTTACATACCATTCACTCAAGGGTACTCGATATTCCTCCCCCTATTATATAACTAACCTAATTGAGGGTCGATGGGGTAGTCAATAATATTCGATCACACTAAACATTCACTCCAATAGATAAAATCACTCTCAACACACGCTATATAAACAACATATCGGGTGGCATTTTATACGTTCTCTATGGGGAGCCAAGAAAGTGCACCTTTCAACTAGGTGGGACACATCTAGCAACCCTCCTCTACTTTCACCAAAAGTAAATGTCTTAGTGGCAACCTCGCATAGCTTATTCTTAATCCGGTGAGGTTGACCCCTCGAGCCAGATCCTGCGAGGTCCACCTATCAACAGTACTCTTGATACATGGCCAAGTATAACATTCGTTGGTGTAATCAGGCATTTTATTCCTTCATTGCATATAACTCAGCCAACGTACATATATATATTTGTAAAAGTTATAAACCCTTTTCATATAATAAAAGATTTTTATTGTTTTACAGGTGCAGCTAGCTTGAACGTGGCCCAATTTAGGCAGTTGTCTATCGTTGTCTTGATTACCTTTTTCATCCACTTCGACATCTTGACTCTGTTTACGTCGGCAATTATAAAACACAGCGCATAAATCAACGGCTCTAGAGCCAATTTATTTCTTTTTTATGTGAGAACTAAAAAGGGTATACTGTTATTATCTATAATGTTTAGTCATACCAAAGTATATTATACATGATAGATACCACATATTGTAAATAAGAGATAAAGAATAAAACATAATAAGAATAAATCAATAATTGACTAATAAGTATACGCATCCAAAGAAGATGGGTTTATATAATAATTTAACAGGAAATTAAAAAAAAAATTGGTGATTACATTTTTGGATGGTTGACTTCAAAAATATCTATTCAAAATGAAAACTTGACTGAAGTCAGATCTGTGTTGTAATGCAAATTTATAAATGTAAGTTATTAAAATAAAAATAGGAAATATATATTTTTAATTAGTGATCATTTGTTTTATATATGTATATACTAAACTTAGTAAAGAAAATAAACGATCATGAATTGTAGTTCTCAGAGAAGTGGTTGACGATTTCACTTCGGGATCAGGGGTATATTTGGTCAATGATTAGAATAGAAAATTAATAACCCAAAGCTAGATTTTGTACAGCTTTATAGATTTCATATGTTAGTATAATTATAAAAAGGGGATACAAAGCGAATGGCGACGACAAAATACGAAAAGTTAACGCCGAAAGTGCGAGTAATAAAAGGCTAAAGAAGAGGAGGAAAAATAAGTTGACTCTACAACCGTCGATTCCTTTTAATTATAAGTTATTGTTTAAAGAGTTTAAATTTTAAAAAAATATGTTGAACGATCTGATACATCGTTTATGTAAGAGATTTAATTTGTAAATGTCAATTTCCTTAGTGTTCAGATTTTCCTATAGGCATTCTGTAAAAAAACGCTTTTGGATATTATTTATGATTTTTTTTAAGAATTTAAAAAAATTGAATCGATACTTTTATGCAGTTGATTTGAGTGAACGTTGATTTTTCCTAGGATATAATTTATGTGCCTATGGAATGCACGATCCAAATAATAAAAAGGCATTGTAAAATAGTATGACGTGGTATGAAAAAAATGATTCATATCGGAAACACCTAAGCCATTAAAACAGATTTAAACACTTTCAACATCCACCCTTTGGGCGAATTCAGGGCTAACATATTTTAAAAAAAACCACGCAAATCCGATGTATTTTTGTAGTTTTGCGTTATTTTTAACGGCACAGAGTGTAGTACTAAAGTTCGAAATATTTAATAGGCTGTTTTACTTTGTGTGGTGAGTACGAATCAGCCCTTAATGTTTACTAAATATATAAAATCTAAAGTTTTTTTGCCAAAAAATGCTTTTAAATCAAACAGTAGAAAGTATTTTACATGTGATACGAAAATTTCCAATACGGTATTTTCATTTATATCATTTACCAAATAATTTGACCTAAAAATATCCATAGGTTAATTTCTTAGAATGACTTTAAAAAATTTGAAACATGTTCCCACAAAAAAACATTTAGTCAAAACGCCCTACGCTATTAATAAAAAATAAAATAACCCAAAAAATATTATTATATTCTTTTTGTTTACTTTAACTTCTATTTTTTTATTTTCCAGAAAAACTTGAGCAAACTATGAATTGGAAATAGCATTTTAAAAAATCCAAAAATAATTTTATTGAAAATTATACCCTTGTAATGATTGTTATAGGAATTATATTGATGTGTTATAGGCATTATATTGATGCTCCTTATGATGATGAACGTAAAATAAACTTCTATAAAGCAAGCCTGCTTAGAAAATAAAACTATACAAATATATATTTTTTATAATAAATAAAGTGTTATATATATTAATGTTTAAAAAAATAATTTTGAAAGTGCAATAACAAATAAAACAACACTTGATATTTTGAAAAGCATTGGAGGTTTCATTAACAAGCGCTACGTGGGATAGCGGATTTCAATGTCATTTTTAGTCAAACTAGTCGAATATTTCTTTACAATTATTATTATAAAATGGTTTATTTATTTCGTTCTTTAACCAACATAATAAACTGCTATGAAGGGTCATGTTAAATGAGATTAGATTGATTAGAAAGTCAAAAAGGTACGTAAACCTAAAGTCGCACTCCAGAAAGTAGATCAGAAAATTTTATTTCTGAGCAACATAATTACGGAACATTTACTACCCTTAAATACGAATTTTTAAACCAAACAAAAATAGACTTTTTGGGCTAATATAATTCATCCTGAGGTAAGTCCCGTGTTCCAGTCCGAAAATTCATTAGTATTTGATTCAATGTCCAGGTATATATTACATCCGTTGGAAAGCTGAAGCTTTCTACTTTTGGCCGATGTCAACAAGCTTTTGATTTTTGTAACTAAAAGTGAGAAAAATCAGGATTCAAGCCAAGGGGCACTGCAACTCGATAAAAAACTAAGTAACTTACATTTTCTTTTATATGATTTTCTGCCTTTGTTGTACATACATTTCAAGGTTATTATATAATCAGTCGATCTATTTTATACCTAGCACAAGAAAATAATATGCAGGATCGGTTTAAATTATATATATATTTATATCAAATTTAAAGTAAAAAAATAAAAGCAGAAAGTCGCTTTCAGTAAAGCAGACTGTAAAAAAATACTTTGTGAAAAAAATGTATTCGATTTAAACCCCCTATAAACCCCCGATGCCCAGTGTTCAACTTAACAATCATAAAAATGTGTGTAAAATGATATTTTTTGCAAAAAACAATTAAGATTCGTTTAAAGCCTCCTTCGAAGCTCTTAAATAAGAATTTTTATAGCAAACAAAAAATAAACATTTTTGAACTGACTGAAGCCGTATGCTTTTTTTGCTCCGATGTACGGAGGTGTTCCACTTACAAAATTGAAATTTCACTGAATTTTATCCAAAAAAGGTATTACAGCCGTTAGAATTACATTATTTTTGGTTTATGTCAATGTTTGTGTTAGGATAAACGGTAAAAATAAGGATGAACTTGATAAAAACGTGTCCAATGTTGTATGTTTTATCAAGGGTACGACCAGGTTGGTCAGTCACGGATTTGGACCAAACTTTTTTGGAGATTCTACACCCCAAAATATCGAACAAGTATCCGCCACTTTTTGTGATAAGCCCTGGTTTCTCCAAAAAAGTTTCGAAAGTTGAAATTTTCCGTTTTTTTAATATTTTGACAAGTGAGACTAAATAATTCCATAAACACTCCCATTTTTCCAATAACTACCTGTTCGTTATGAATATACTTGAGGTAATTCTTAATAAAACGACTTAATCGGTTTTATGAAGCTTTTTTCAAAATCTAATTTTAGTAGCAATTAAATGAGGATAAATCGTTATTTAGAGATTAAAACAAATCATTTTTGGTATATTAATTTCAGTATTGGTTTAACATGAAAACAAAAAGTTGGACGAATACGACGCAGAATATTGCAATTTCGTATGATTTGTAAAGCTAGATCAACAAAATACAGCTTATTTTATTATTTATTTTTTCATATTTTAACAAACATTCTGTAAGCAAAGTTGGTCAGATAATGGTAAAAACTTGGATTTGACCCCTCTGTTGTGCTTCGAGCGTTATAAAACCATTCAACAGAATTTCGCTTGAACAACTTCTTAAAAATCGTAAAAATTTTAGGGTTCAAAAAATCGATAAATTTACATTCCAATAAAAATTTATAATTAGGGGTGGCTAGCTGCGCTAAAATGAAATTTCATATTAGTTTCTCGAAAAAAAATTATTACCTAGTTTTCTTGAAAGAAATTTGATATTTAGAATTCTTTTGGTTATTGATAAATGTTGATAGAACGAATTCTTAAAAATGGGAAAAATTTTAGGGTAAAAAACCGATAAAATAAATTCAAACAAAAATTTGTAATTAGGGGTCTCTAGAGGTGCTAAAATGAAATTTCATATTAGTTTCACGAGGAAAAAAAAATATGACCTTGTTTACTATTTAATTTTCAGAATTTTTTAGTTATTGATAAGCGTTGATAGCGTTTATTATATATTTTTATTGCAATCTACATAAAATGCTGTAAAATAATATATTTTTATAGCTGATTTGAGCAAGTAAAATAATGACGAAATAAAAATATGAAAGAGGCAAAAATTTCAACTTTCAAAAAAACAGTTGGCGAAACCAGGGCCTATTCACAAGAAGTGGAGGATATGTTTCCAATTTTTTGGAGTGTAGAATCACTAAAAAAAGTTTGGTCCAATTCCGTGGCCGACCGACCCGGTCGTCCCTTTGTAAGTTCTAATTGATTGAAGAAAGTCAACTTTATGACATTACGAGTAGATAAAAGGTTCTAACTTATTATAAAGTTCCATGTGCATCAGTAGATTAGTTTCAAAGTTATCACCATTTCCGTGATTTTTACAAAATCAAAGGGTTTTAGAAGATACAATTTGAGAAAAATATGTTTTTTTTATTTTTCCAAAAATTTGTTGTTTTTTTGGAGGTGCGAAAAACGAATATCAGCATTTTTTATTAAAAAAAAAAATATTTTACCCTAATTTTCTAAGTGACTTTTCGCGTCATTGTTGGTCTTGATACGCCAGAGATGTTTATCTCTGATGTCAGTTGTTCCAATTAAAATTTCATCTCTTCGGAATGTCATCCGAAGTCCACGTTATTATAACCTTTAGAAAGCTTAATTTTACTACTTTCTGCGAATGCCAATAAAGTTTAGATTCTATGTAATATTAAGTGAGAAAAACAAGGATGAATTCAATAAAAACATCTCAACCGTTATATTTTTTTATCCAGTTTTAAATAATTTACGAATGTCAAGTTGGTGAAGTTACGTGTAGTTTATAAGGTTCTAAACTACTGTTGAGTTACATCTAGATCAGTAGTTTGGTTTCAATGTTATCACCAGTTTTGTGATTTTTACACAAAATCGAACGCTTTTTGGGCAGGCGTAAATTTTGAGAAAATGTTATTTTTTGAGTCTTCGAAAAATTTGTATTTAGAGGTTTTTCGAGTGTAAAAAAAGAACAACAGTTTTGTTTCTTGGACCTACTTTGTTTCTTTCCTTGGTCACAAATTGTTGCATTTCAACCGGTAGCTAGAATTCGGTCGCCCGGTGATTTTTTTCTTTTCGTCTTTTTGGAACCTAGGTTAGCATTTTAAACAAGGAGAAAGGTACTTAAAAAGAATACATTTTTTGACCTACTTTATTGGAAAAGTCTTTGTTTTTGTAACTTTTCTATATGAAAAATCATTTAATACGAGCCTGCATATTATTCTATGATAAAAATTGTTATATTTTTTCTTTTGTTTATAAAATTGTTTATATTTTTTCTTGCCAACGGGCAATAGGGAATCATAAAAAATTATTTCAAG